CATTTCCTCATAAGAACAGGGCAATAATCTGATCTAAAGCCAATAAAACAACCTACTGGTGGCAACAGAGGCCCTGGGACTTCATTATACTCTCAGTACTGAGACTTCTTTAGAGAATTAACTTCCAGGGAAGATAGGCCTGAAAGTCATCTGGTTCCTCAAATCAAGAATCCCCTTTCTCAGACCACAACCTCCCTTTCTTCTTTCTAGAAGCTATCTTTTACCTCTGGGAACCCACAATGAGGCAGGCATTAGTCCCTCAATCCTACCCTACTCACTAATCACCTAAACTTACTGTATCCTTTGTCTTCCTGGACTCTGTTAACCTTCAAGATATTTGTATCTTGACTCCTTCACCTCTTTTCCTTTTGACATACCCAGAAAACACTACCCTTTTTTCCCCAATTTAATGTCTACCATAGAGAAACGAAGGACCACAAAAGCTGGCCCCAGCCTTACCAAGACCCTTTTGGCTACTGAGCCAAATATTTTCCATTCCTCAAGACCAGGACCTGACCCTGGCCCCCTCACTTTCAGGAAATGGGGGGAAGGACAATCCATATGCGCCTCCCCCCAATTTCCTCATGTGTGTCTTGCCATGATCTGATTCTGACCAAGTTTACTCAGTTCTTCCTTCCCATTTCTGACTCCATGCCTTTGTTCTTTACCTAGGAAGCCATTTCCCCATCCTCTGACCACATACTACTTTCATGAAGGCTACGCTACTTATTTTATAGTTTTAGTGGCAGAAGGAAAGATAGATATTTATTAAGTATCTGGTGCCTGTATTTCAGATGACACTAATTTAAATATTTTTGCCTATACATAGCTATAAAACCACTCTTGACTATGAGAGTATTTACTGAGAATATTTACTAGAGACCAACTAAGGATTTTTAAACTCTGCAGCCCACCACAAACTCCTTCAAGTGAACAAGAACCAGAAAGTTTCTCACCGTCCACTAGATGGCACTGTTGGTCTGCGGTGACTCTTAGGACAGGCTTCCAACTGGAACAAAATAGACAAATTCTTAAAACAGTCATGCCACTTGCTCTGGCAGAGGTCTCCAATTAGGCTACACTGGGATTATGACAAAATATGATAAAGATCACTGTCTAGAATGATTCGATAAATAACAGCTATTATGACTAGACTCTTCAAATAGGTTATAAACACGCCCTATAGCAGACTGCCTCACATTAGTATTTTCTTTCTTTTTTTAAGTATTCTTTTAAAACAAAACTTTAATCATAACTCCTTCACAGATGAAAAGGAATAACACAGAAAATGGACATTAGGGTTTTCTGCAAGTGCTTGTAAGGACAAGCTGAACTTTCATCAGGTGGTCTCCAACTTCTCCTTGGGAAGCAGAGTAGCTGGGGTGCAGTGGTATATAGTCTGCACCTGAAGAGAAATCTGAATGACTAGGCCCCTTGACCACAGTAGGAAAACTAGACAACTCAACTGGGCCAGTGTGGCCCAATAAAAACAGCAGAGGACTGCTAGTCAGACCTCTCTTCTCTTGGCTCTGCTCCCAATCTGATATAAAACTTCATGTAACTCCTAACCTTCTGGGCCTCAATTTCTTTTTTTTTTTTTTTTTTTTCATAAAATAATAGGTTTAAATTAAAGGTCCTAAAAATTATAGCATCCAAAACATATCAAAACAAAAAGTTTAATAGGTTTATTAAAGGTCCTAAAAATTATAGCATCCAAAACATATCAAAACAAAAAGTTACCAGCCAAAGCAATCTTGAGAAAAAAGAACAAAGCTGGAGGTATCACGCACCCTGACTTCTGGACTATACTACAAAAAACTACAGTAATTGAAACAGTATGGTACTGGCACAAAAACAGACGCAGAGATCAATGCAACAAACTAGCTTAGAAATCAACCCATACACATATGGTACCGGCACAAAAACAGACAGAGATCAATGCAACAAAATAGCTCAGAAATCAACCCATACACATATGGCCAATTAATCTACAACAAAGGAGCAAGAATATACAGTGGAGAAAAGACAGTCTCTTCATTAAGTGGTGCTGGGAAAACTGGACAGCTACATGCAAAAGAATGAAATTAGAACATTTTCTCACATCATGTAAAAAAACTCAAAAGGGATAAAAGACCTAAATGTAAGACCAGAAATCATAAAATTTCTAGAAGAAAACAGGCAGAAAACACTCTTCGACATAAATCATAGCAACCGTTTTTTTTTGTTTTTTGTTTTTTTTGGATCTGTCTCCTCAGGCAAAGGAAACAAAAAGCAAAAAGAAACAAATGACACCTAATTGAATTTTTTTTTTTTTTTAGACCTAATTGAATTCAAAAGCTTTTGCACAGCAAAGGAAACCACTGACACTACAAAAAGACAACCTACTGAATGGGAGAAAATACTTGCAAATGTTATGACCAATAAGGATTATTAATATCTGAAATATATAAACAGCTCAATATTTAAAAAAAAAAAAAGGGACTGAAGACCTGAATGGACATTTTTCTAAAGAAGACAGATGGACTTCCCTGGTGGCGCAGTGGTTAAGAATCCACCTGCCAATGCAGGGGACACGGGTTTGATCCCTGGTCTGGGAAGATCCCACATGCCGTGGAGCAACTAAGCCCGTGCGCCACAACTACTGAGCCTGAGCCCGAGTGCTGCAACTACTGAAGCCCATGCACCTAGAGCCTGTGCTCCAGAATAAGAGAAGCCACTGCAATGAGAAGCCTGCGCACCACAACTGAGACCCAACGCAGACAAAAAATAAATTAAAAATAAAGAAAAATAAAGAAGACATATGGCCAACAGACACATGAAAAGATGTTCAACACTGCTATTCAGAGAAATGCAAATCAAAACCAAATGTCACCTCATGCCTATCAGAATGGCTAAAAAATGGAATATTACTCAGCCATAAAAAAGTAAATTTTCTGCCATTTGCACTAATATGGATGGACCAGTAGGGTACTATGCTTAACGAAATACATCAGAGAAAGACAAATACTGTATGTTACCAATTAAAAAAATAAAACAAGTGAATATAACAAAACTGAAACAGACTCACAGATACAGAGAACAAACTACTGGTTACCACTGGGGAGAGGGAAGTGGGGAGAGGCAAGATAGGGACAGGGGATTAAGAGGTACAAACTACTATGAATAAAATAAGCTACAATGATATATTGTACAGCACAGGGAATACAGCAATTATTTTATAATAACTTTAAATGGAGTATAATCTATAAAAATATCAATCACTATATTGTACACATGAAACTAATACTGTAAATCAACTACACTTCAATTTAAAAAAAAGTGCTTAGAAAGTGTTACAAGCTGAAAGATAATGTATTTAACATTTTGAATTGACTTACCTAGAGACAAAATATTTGCATTATTTCAATAACCCTGTGTTAAAACATTAGGGATAGACAATGGCTTGAAGAACTATTTTGAAAATATCTTCTTATTCCCCCTTAAGCATGGTTTCCAAAGTATGGATTTACATGTGGTTACCATGGCAGTATAGCTAAAACTGTTACTACATACTAATTTTCTGAAAGAAATGTTTGTTTTTGTCAACATTCTGTGAAAAGCTAAAAGAACTCAGGACTATGCTTTCTAATGCCCAAATAGTTTATCTGGGTTCAAAAGCAAGAGGCCATCACGGAGTAAGGAAGGACAAGCGTCTACTCCCCTTCCAGTACATGCATCATTCACTTTCCTTGAGCGGAAGCCAGCTTTCCTTTAAACCCCTTTCAGGGCCTTAAGCTAGACAGAGAAGAGAGGAGAACATCTTAAAAACAAACCTCAGCTAGGAGATGAGGCATGTGCCCTGTGGAACAATTAAACAAGTGTTTTTGTTTTAAGGACCTACTCCATGGAGACACTGCTAGGCTGCTGCAAACGTACCAAGTCATCTGGTCAAAAGGCACATACATTCTATTGACAGACTTAAATCCAAAACCTAAAAACAAGATCAAACAAGAGGACTAAAGAGTGTGAATAAAAGCTTCAAAGACAACTGAAAAGTAAAATTAGTCCATTTAACATGAATTTAGCTAGTGGAAATGCATAGAACAGGGTCCTGCAAAATACATGTCAAACTGCTAAAACGAGAGGGAACGAGAGGGAAGGGGGAGGGGAGACAGCAGAGGAAGAACGGGAGGGTGCCTTACAAAGTGTTCATGTCAAAACATAACAAAGCTCATTTTTAAAAGTGAAATGGCTACGCTAATAATAGTTTATTATTGGCACAATCTTTCAACTCTCAAGTTTCATAAGGAAGGTTAGGCAAGCAAAGTATTCTCAGAGTCTAGGCTACTACAACACTGAGATGGACAATTAACAGCGATTAGAACTCTTACGATATTTTAAGAAACTAGTTTAATTTGGGTTTCATCTGCACCAAGATGAGACACAGGAAAAAAGTGACTTCTGCATGGTCATCCATCTCAGCGTACTTCTGCTAGTTTCATCACTAGACGTGTGAGCCCAACCCTACCCCCTCAACCCAATTGTCCCCGATTCCCTCAGGACAGGCGGTATGCTGTCCGTCCATATTTTTGCCTCCCCCACAATAAACTAAGTCTACGCTTTAAACACACCGAGTGGCTTATACCCAAAAGTTTCACTTAGGTCTTCGCCTTCCCCTTCCCCTCCTGGAACATCACTGGACTCTGCAGAGAGGAGAGTGTTCATGTAGTGCTTTGCAGCCTCTGCTCTGAAGGCGGGCACGTGCCCCAGAATGGCCGCCGCCGCCCAGCCCAAGCCTTTCCGTGTGTGCCAGCCCAAGAAAGCTGGGAACACCTTTAAACCTCACGAGCTCCCTTGCTCTCTTCCACCTTGGTTGTAGGGGTAACTGACTACAAAACGCTGAAGAAAACCTTTAACATACCAAAGTAATTGTCTGACAGAATGTCTTCAAATTCATATTCAAAACTTCCAACACAGAAGCCGTACAAAACTTGCTCTTTATCTACCAACCACATTCAATGAAGGTATAAAATACAATTACTTTATTGATTTCTTACAATCAATACTGCCAACCAGCATTACTTCCACTCATGCATCATTAAAAACAAAAGGATATTTCCTTGGTATTTTCAAATGATGCATTATACAATAAACAAAAAAAGTTAGAACTTAAAATGCACCCTGATTAATTATGTAAACTGGTAATTTTTTAAAAAAAGCATAACTAATAATTTGGTTCCTTTCTTCATAAAATGGAAATTTAAGTATTTCTCCTGATAGTCTTGAGGTTATCATTATGTTACGAGTAGTGCAAAGTGTGGCACACAGTTTCTTCTAGAAAGGTGTGTCTTAAACACACCTTATTAAACAAAGGAAATGTGCATAACAAGATGCATACAGTCAATGCATGAATAGAAAGCATGTTTCAAATACAAGGTAGCCCTTCAGGCAACCATTATTATTTAGGTTTTGCATTATCATTTATGGCATTATAGATTAATTACACATAACATACTTTTATACATTTTAACCCTGAAGAAAAATAATTGTTGCTTGAAAAAAATTATTCCAGGTAGCCATTTGGTTTGTATCAGGAGAAAGTGAACCTCCAAGAGTTTAGTATCTGCCAAGTCTGGAATCATTAGCTCGAGTCAGTAAATCCGATGCACGACATACTTCACAGTGACTGTTTCCAAGTCTTGTCAATGCCTCTTCTCCGCAGGATGCTGGATTCAGCATCTCCGGGACACCCTTGCATGTGGTTTTCCCTTTTTTTTTTTTTTTTTTTTTTTTTTTTTTTTTTGTTGGATTAACTGTATTACCGTATTATTTCCTCTTTTTCACCTCTTCTATGGCCTTCCATTTTAATTATTCATAAGTCCTTTCAGAATATCTTCAGAGAGTTCCATGAGAGGAAGTTCTGGAGATGGAAAATCCAAGGGAGGAAGATTGGGTATTGGAATATCCTTGGCTTTCCCAGTATTTGATGCAAACCTCTGCCAGGTTGAAGAGGCTGTAGCAGTTTCTGCATGTGGTGGCAAGCTCCATAACTCTGACTTTTCTACAAAATCAGCATCTACATCAAGCTCCTTTTCTACCGGGCCTTTTAGAAGTCTGGCCTTTTCAGCCTTTAACTGTTTATTTTCTCTCCTTAATCTTTCATTCTCAGCCACGAGGAATTCCACATGCCTCTTCAAATCTGCAATTTTGGTTGCCTGCTCCTCTATAATTGTTTTATCATCTTTTGGGGCTTTGCTTCCAATGCACAGCTCTGTTGGCTCGCTCTTCTGCTGAAGTAAAAATAGTAGTGTGTCTGGATCCCTGTCAAAGACCCCCTGAATTTCAGGCAAGTGTTTCTCTGTGGAAGGGCTATAATTCTGAGATAGTAGGGGGCTCTGGCTGTCTGTGTCCTCAGCAGAGGGTCTGTGAGATGCCTGAAGCTGGGCAGCGGCATCCTTGTCTGTGCTCTGCTGGGCTTTCAATCTTTCCTCCCGCTTTGCCCTCTTCCATCTCTCCTGGATGAGGAGAAGCTGTTTCATGTGACTATCCCTTTGCAGTTCCAGTGATAAATGAGCCTATTACACAGAAGGAAAGGTACAATTTAACATTTTAAGTCACTTCAGTAATGTCTGGTAAATACTATTTCAGTATCTTCTTTTCTGAATAACCCAATAGCACTTAAAATTTTTTATTTATACTGTTTGCAATTCAATAGAACCTCAAACACCTTTCAAAGTAACTAAATCTTTCTAGGTAAGCTAACATTTTCATTCATAAACAAAATACCATTCAAGAAGTCAGAAGAAGTCCTATTCCAGTTCCAGTCGACATGGTGAATCAGACCGTTCTTGAATGTGCCTTTCCCCTCTGCAATGCTATTTGTACTCAGCTTAAAATCAGAAAAGTTTCCTATTTAGACTTTAATTCTACAACTAGCTAAAGTCTCGACGCAGGTCTACATTACATGGCTAACACAAGCAGTTCTGGACAGTCAAAGGGAAGTGCACAGAATGGAACACAACTTTTAAGTTCTCTTCGTTCAGTCTGAGGAACTGGTATGTTTCCCCTGCCACTGATATCCCCTCAGATCTCCTTAATTCAATTAAACAAACATTTACCAAGTAACTCCTGTGGACCTGCCACTTTTATAATCAGGAAATCATCTTTGGATAAAGATGTAGCTTTGTGTAAAGGTATTTTAAAAACCTAGGCAGGCCCTCCCCAGACACAGAAGACAATTTAAAGCCATTGGTGAAACAAATTTAAAAGTACCAGAACTGCTTAGGAATTCAGGAAAAGACAGGTCTGGATTTAAATTATCTTTGACAACCAAAGGTAAGGCCAACTGGTTTCCCCTGGGCCAGGCCTGCTTACTTACTGTGAGCTCGTGGTCAAATGAGCTAATGATCAGGAAAGGCACTAACGGGTCTCTAAAGGACATGCCTGGCAATCTAAGGTCTGTGAGAAACCCCTAGAAAAAAGGACAGCAGTTTCTGCATGCCATCAACAGCAGTTCACTTAGTTTTATTTTTTATTTTATACTGCAGTATAGTTGATTGACAAAGTTGTGTTAGTCTCAGGTGGATAGCAAAGTGATTCAGTTATACATGAATCTATCCTTTTTCAGATTCTTTTCCCATTTAGATTATTACAGAGTACTGAGTTCCCTGTGCTATACAGTAGGTTTTTGTTGATTATCTATTTTATATATGTATAATATGTATATATTAATCCCAACAGTTCATTTAGTTTTAATTTCCTTTCTGAAGTACTCATCTCTTCCCCATTTTATGTATTTTTGACTGCAGTGTTTTGGGAGGAGCACAATGCTTTATTTTATACACAATTCAAGTCTCCACAAGAAATTCCTTCTAACCCTTGTTGAAAATATTGAAGTATCTTACCTGCTCAGACTGTGTCAGCTTCATAGCTTCAGAAAGATATGCTGGTTTAAAAAAAAAAGAGACACATTATGTGTCGTCATTTTGTTATTAAAAGGTCAAACAAAGAGTTTTAATACTCCTCATATGACAAAGAGAACTGGTCTTAGAAGCAATTCTGCTACATAGTTATCCTATTCCCGAAAAGGATTTAAAAAAAAAAGGATTCTTAACTTCTCCATAAAAAATATCAGTGGTAATCAAATGTACATATTCCATACTTCACCTTGGAGGGGCTGGTTCTTTTAAATCAATGTAGATTTCACAGTTAAGGAAGTAAAGATGGCATAATCAGAAAAACAGAATTAGGTAGGATTAAAATTAAACAAGAACCTATCAAAATCCTATTACTCAAATTATGCTCACACAAATATCAAGATATTGACTATCAATGACTTTTTACCCACATGAATACCTAAACTATCATTTTGGTCTCCTACAGAACTACTGTTATTGAATTGTTTCTGAGCTATACTATCAGCCTACTGTGAATCTGGTAGTTAAAAGCCCAAAGAACTCATTGACATATTTATAATAAGTAGCTGCAGGCAGTATTAGGACATTTATGAAAATGTCACTTTAAAAATCCATAACTTTCCTCTCTAAGCTGACTGCTAGAACGCTGAAGGCCATGTTCCCCTTCAAGAACTCATAATGCATTTTGTGAACTACCAGTCCTCCCCCATTTTATCTTTCTATGGATTTTATATTTTGTTGTATTCCTTTGTAAGCCCTTTTATATCTTGCTGGAACAAGATAGGGTATAAATAACAAGTATTATTAATAAAAGGTCGTGTCCAATTAATCCCCATTTTTTATCTCTTGCTCACTGTAAACTTTCTGGCATCTCTCATACATTAACTTCCTTCTTGCCTTTTCTCCAATACTACAGGCACTGCTTTCTGTCTAATCTTAATCCAAATATTTTAATGATTTCCTGAGTTCATCACTTAGAACTGTTGTCTGCCAGGTTCTATCAGTCTTCAAGACAGACTAATTGGATGCTCCCTCCACATCAGAAAACAGAGTTGGTTATATGGCCTATGCTCCAGCCATACCTACATTTTCCCCTCAACTTTTTGTCTTATTAAGTCTGTATAACTGCATACAGACGACTTCTTTTCCTTTTGTTCATGTGTAAGTCTGTTGAGACATTCTGTCTCTTACTGTGATTGTGTGGATTTCCCTAGACATCCCTCCCATTATTCTGTGTACATTTGCCTCCGTCTGAAATACAGTTTGCTTTAAATCCAGTTTCTTAACACATAGAACCTTTTCACAAAACCAAGCTTAACCCAAATGCAGTGCCTCCCTTTGTAGAACCTTGAAACTATTAACATGACAGAAGAAGATACCCAAGGACACTGAGTTCCCAAAGCTCAGAGAATTCAAAAAGAGTCACATTGTCATTTAAATTATTTCCCAATCTTAAAATCTGGGTCTTGAAAGAAAAGTTATTTTAAAAGAAAAAAAAAATTTTTAATCTGACTGCATGGTAATGAGTTTACCCCAGAGCCACAACAGGAACAAATGCCCAAGACAGAAATGTAGGCAGAGAATACTTATCTCAGAAATATTTAGCAATATGGTTAAACTGCTTTCTTCAATTATGATACAAGGCTAATATGTGAAGTAAATACTAAGTAAATGATGAAGAAAAGGAATTAAGAAAATCTGAAGAATCTATCACTTCTTAAAATAATAACATTTACTATCAAATACATATAAACAATGTACTCTGAGGTCTGCTCATCTTCTGAAAAGTTCATTTTGAGTTCTAAGCATTGTTAATGCCTATGATTAACTTCCCATTTAAGCTTTTGCTCTTTTTACTGTCTGTGAAAGAAACGAAATCCACTTAGAAACTGGATTGCATTAAGACTGGTAAGGGAGGACTTCCCTGGTGGCGCAGTGGTTAAAGAATCCGCTTGCCAATGCAGGGTACACGGGTTCGAGTCCTGGTCCAGGAGGATCCCACATGCCACAGAGCAGCTAAGCCTGTGCGCCACAGCTACTGAGCCCGAGCGCCACAACTACTGAAGCCCACGTGCCTAGAGCCCATGCTCCGCAACAAGCCACCACGATGAGAAGCCCACGCACTGCAACAAAGAGTAGCCCCCATTCGCTGCAACTAGAGAAAGCCCGTGTGCAGCAACAAAGACCCAACACAGCCAAAAATAAAATAAATTTATTTTTTAAAAAAGACTGATAAGGGAGAGTTACAGAAAACCAGTTACAGCTGCTAATCAAGGGTTTAAAGCAATAGATTCTTCTAACAATGCTGAAACCTTGGTAGTTTATGGCTTCTTAACTTTTTTTCAATATAGAGCAGTAAAAATGCATACACCTCCTCCTCCCCACCTCCTGCCAGATGTAGACAGCTTTTTCCTTCTGGGTTGGGTATCTCAGTTTATCAAGTAACCTCTTTATTTCTACATATTTACAAAACACTATCAGAACACTACAAAGTGTAGAGGATATGAGTCCTTAGCTGTGTAGTCTTGGGTAAACTGTCTCAGAATCTCCTCTGATCTTGAACAGAGGCCCCTTCTTTTGCCCTTAAATTCTCTCATTTCAGGCTTTCATCCCACCAGTCTTTCTCAGATGATGACCTTTCCCTGTTTTGTCTCTAAAATGATTTCCAAATACTAAGTTCCTTCCTCTCAGGATACATGTACATCCATACCTCCCAAAACACCTCTCTTCGAACCCTAGATGTAAGTCAATTTAGAAAACACTGAGCTCATTCTAACCACATTAATTTTCAAACTAGCACTACATTCACAACTCTACTCTGAAACACAACACAAGGCTATTTTTAACCAAGTCTAAACTCCAAATCAAATCCGCTGGGTGGGATTAACTAATCACACTTAAAGTTGTATCTCCATAATTAGAGCTAATGGGATCCAACAAACTGCCTTTATCTTTTCTTTAGATACAGAGAAAGGGGGAGAAGAGTTTAAAAGCCCAACATTAATTTTAAGTCTTCAAATAAAGACAGGGATGCAGGCTAGGAATGAAAGAAACTTCTCTGTCTTTTATGTATTCAGAATATCCTACCAATCCAGAGACACTGCTTTGGGAAAGCAAATGTTCTCCTTAACTTGCTGCAAGTAATAAATCCTTCCTTCTCGGCTGGGAGGGAGGGGGGCAGAATATCCTACCTATCAACACACAACCTAATGCTGATCAGTCTGTTATTTATGTGTAACCATGACCACTCTGGATTATTTAACTAAATGTAGCATTTCACTGCAGCATTCATGTTTTTTTTTAAATAGTATAGTACACTTTTTTTTTATAGTGACTACAAATTTAACAATTTGATTCATAACAAAATATGGCTTATGAAAGATTTAAAGAGCACTAGCTGCCAAGTTTAATGTTGTCTAAAGCTCCCATAAAATTCACCATAAATATCCACAAAGATTTATGGGATATATATACAATGCATTCAGCCCTACAGCTGAAGGGGTACACTTCAGTAGCAAAACTAACTCTTCAAAAATAAGACGTGAAATTTTCTCTGAAAATTACTGACATGTAGGCAAAAATCATTGACATAGAAGGACTTATCAGGAGGGGCAGCCTCTGCCATGAAAAAGCAGGACTTGGATCATGGTACTGGCCTAGAGGGGAGGAAAGCGCCTTCCTCCAGCAGAAAGAGTACGGGGCTCGCTCTAAGACAGGCAGCCACTCCACTGTAGGATGAAGCACCCCTGCCCCGAAGCTTTTAGGCTACTCAGCTAACAGAAACCAGTCTGTACAAACAGACCCTGAAGATCTATTTCTGAGTTCAACATATGCTAGCTTGTATGACTGGGATAAAATTAGATAAGAATCCAGTAATTCTAAACTTCATACCTAAAAGAAGGTCATCAGCAGCATGGTACTATAGGCATGAATGTATAGACGAAACATTCAGAAGGGAAGCTAAAGAAAGGCCACAGGAAAGAGTTTCAATGGATTTTGTATTATCAGCATCTTAGAAAACAGAAACTCAGTGAAAATTAATGGCTGGAATTAAATTAGTTATTACTTTCAAAACCCAAAAAAGCTAAATATTTGAAATCCAGACTCCTCTATAACAACTAAGATGAATTGACAGACACTGCTTGGAATTACTTCTGTCTTTGGGGATCTTCAGGCTCAGGAAGCTGTGTCCAGGAATCATTTATGAATACAGCATATGCAATCTTCTTGATTTAGAAAGACTGGGTTAGGAGGAGCTGGAAAATCTAACACACTCACTTGAAAAATAATCCAAGCTGTGTTCCAGTGGGTCAGTAGTATCAACTTGGTACATGCAGGGCAACAACACATCATTACTCTTGTGACTTTCATTCTAAATAACGTGTTGAGAGATACTGGAAAAAAGAAACTGCCCTGCAGTTTTAGACTCAGTACTTCTTAAAAAGAATACTCACCTGCAGCCTTTTTGTGACAAGAAATAGCCTCTTCGTATTTCCCTGCAGCTACTAAACGATCTGCTCGTCTGCTCTGTTGATGAGCCTAGAAAACAAACATTCCTGAGTTCCTCTTACTCAAAAAAAAAAAAAAAAAACTTTTAAGAAGATATAGTGCTGTTTGTTGCCACACATCAAACCATTATGGCTGTATCTAAAACTGGGGAAACCTAATGGGCAGTATCTGAAGGGACTGGCAACTTCTCTCAACTCCACTAATAAACAATCGAGGTTAACACTAGGCACCAACTCCTTCAGGGAACATTCTTCAGAGAAAAACCAAGGGCCATCATCAAATTGTTACTCAAAATGTATATTTTCTTGGTTTTTAACTCATTCTTCCTTTTCAACATTAAAGTTGCTATTTATGTTTTCAAGATAAAAAATTTGTACATTATACAGTTGAGGAATTAATGATACCAATATTTAATGTTATGGTGGAGATCTTTTCAGGTACAACTCACCAAAACAACAAATTCAAAGTACTGAAAGCAAATGGATTAAATAAATAGTCATTGGTCTCCTTACACTTGTGTTACATTTAAGAACTATTACAATTTTGTGAATGTGTTTCACCTCTTACATAAGGAGGTCCATAGACTCATAGTGGTCACATATCTTACATAAGGTTATACAGTTAGCAGGCAAGGAGAAAGCAATGGTCAGCTGAAGTCTTCTAACTAGTGTAATGTTTTCCTCACTAACAAACTCACAGATAATTTAGCAAAGCTGCTTAAAGTGAAAAAGCACTATACACCTATGTTCACAGCAGCATTATTCAGAATAATCAAAAGGTGGAAGCAACCTAAGCATCCATCAATAGATGAATGAACAAAATGTGGTACATACACACAATGTAAAATTACTCAGCCTGAAGAGGGAGGAAACTGACACATGCTACAGCATGAACTTTGAGGACTTTTAAACTAATAATGAAATATATAATGAGCCACTTGCAAAAAGACAAATACTGTATGAACCCACTTAATGAGGTATCTAAAGTAGTCAAACTCACAGAAACTGAAAGTAGAAAGGATAGTTGCCAGACACTCGGGGGAGAGAAAAGTGGGGAGTTGCTGTTCAACGGGTGTACAGTTTCAGATTTACAAGATGAAAAAGTTCTGGAGATCTGCTGCACAACAATGTGAATATTCTTAACACTATTGAACTGTACACTTAAAAATTATAGACGGCAAATTTGGGAGTTCCCTGCTGGTCTAGTGGTTGGGATTCGGAGATTTCACTGCCACGGACCAGGTTCAATCCTTGGTCGGGGAACTGAACTTCCCTCAAGCCACATGATGCGACCCAAAATTTTTTTTAATTAAAAATTAAAAAAAATTATAGACAGAAAATTTTATGTGTACTTTACCTCAGTTTCTTTTTAAAAAGCAAAAATCAAATCTGTGTGTCTGGTGTGAAATGATTTGTGTTGAATGCTTTTCAAAAAATGTGCCACTGATGCCTCATAAAAATACTTCAGAAAATCACTTTTGTAACTGAGATTAGAAATATTTGCAAGTTTACAAATCATGCTCAGTGTAAAACAGAGGTGCAGACAAAAGTAGGGAACAGTATACTTCTAGCAATGCATGCTGTTTACATTTTCCCCGTTTCTATTTCTGTAAGGAAGAGGCAAGCAACACTCTTAAAAGAAAGATTATTCCTTTCAATTGTTTCAGAGGCTTTTTATTCTTCAAATAGTAATTAAACAAACTTTTTCTCTAAGTCTCAATTTATTCCTAAAAATAATAATGGATAACCAGAAATGACTAAGGGCTTAAAATATAATTTTAACCATGGAGTCCTGGATTTGAACCAAAAAACATGTTCTTAACACAGGAGTATTATATAGTATCCAGAAATGATACAGATCTTTTGGGGAGAGAATGTACATAATCAAGAAAGGTAAGTTATGATCAACATGATTCCTCTAAGGAATGTATTCTGAGCATATAGCTAAAGCAAGTGACAATCAACAAGGTTCTAGGCACGGGGGAAAAAAAAATAATGAAAGAATCTGCATATGCCTTTACCTTTCTAAGCTTTGAAAGAAGCCCTATTTAAGAGACAACCTTCTCTGAAATCCCAAAGTACTTCCTAACTAGGATGGCACAGTGCAGACACAGCCCTACCAAGAACCTGGGGCACTAGGCTCAAGTTCTATAATCCCACTAAACCAGCCAAGTTATCTCATCCTTCAGGGCCTGTTTCCTCACCTGTAAAATGATGGACTTAGATCTGTGCTTCTCAAGTTTTCATGGAATCCAAATCATTGGGTAATCTGGTTAAAATGCACACTGATTCAGAAGGGCTTGAGAGTCTACCCAGGTGAAGCTGAAGCTACTGGCTCTTGGACACACTTTGAGAAGCCGGGATGAGATGCTCTCTGAGGTTATCTTATTCTAACACTGCCTCTAGTCTCTCTATCCAATGACATTAATCATTTTCTACCTTGTACTATATTTACGAAGCTCCCTAGTTAAACGTCAAGTTCCACAATAGTAGAATAAATTTTTTTTTTCATATTCTTTTCCATTACAGTTTATTACAGGATATTGAATATAGTTCCCTGTGCTATACAGCAGGCCATTGTTGGTTATCTATTTTATGTATACTAGTGTGTGTCTGCTAATCCCAAACTTCCCCACCCTCTTTCCCCTTTGGTAACCATAAATTTGTTTTCTATGTCCGTGAGTCTGTTTCTGTAGTTAATAGGTTCATCATTTGTATCATATTTTAGATTCCACATATAACTGATATCATATGGTATTTGTCTTCCTCTGACTTACTTCACTTAAGTATGATAATCTTGAGGTACATCCACGTTGCTGCAAATGGCATTATTTCATTTTTTATGGCTGAGTAATATTCCATGTGTATATATAATTCCACATCCTTATCCATTCATCTGTCGATGAACTGGAGTTTTTGAATTGGAGTTTTGCCCAGATATATGCCCAGAAGTGGGATTGCTGGATCATATGTTAACTCTAGTTCAAGATCATAGTTAACTCTAGTTCAAGAAACCTCCATACTGTTTTCCATAGTAGCTGCACCAACTTACATTCCTACCAACAGTGCAGAAGGATTCCCTTTTCTCTACATCCTCTCCAGCATTTGTTATTTGTATACTTTTTGATGATGGCCATTCTGACTGGTGTTAGGTGGTACCTCATTATGGTTTTGATTTGCATTTTTCTAATAATTAGTGATGTTGAGCATCTTTTCATGTGCCTATTGGCTGTCTATATGTCTTCTTTGGAGAACTGTCTATTTGGGTCTTCTGCCTATTTTTTGATTGGGTTGTTTAGTTTTTTGTTATTGAGTTGCATCAGCTGTTTAATTATTTTGGAAATTAAGCCCTTCTCAGTCGCATAGTTTGTAAGCATTTTCTCTCATTCTGCAGGCTGTCTTTTCATCTTGTTTATGACTTCCTTTGCTACGCAAAAGCTTCTGTGTGGTTAGGTCCCATTTGTTTATTTTTGCTTTTATTTCTATTGCCTTGGGAGACTGCCCTAGGAAAACATTGCCACTTGAGCGAATGTTTTGCCTATGTTCTCTTCTAGGAGTTTTGTGATGTCACGTCTTATGTTTAAGTCTTAAAGCTATTTTGAGTTTATTTTTGTCTATGGTGTGAGAATAAACTTTTTCTTGAACACCAAAGAAACAAAAAGTTCTCAAGTGGTAGGAACAAGACCTCATGGCTCTTCCAACTCCCCAAAAACTTCCCCATGTAAAATCCAATCTCTGATCACGCTGCCAACTCAGGAGTTACATTTCATTTTAAAACACAAACCTACTTTAGGTTATCTGGCACCACAGCAATCAAATTCCCTATTAAAAAATACAGGTCCTACACCAAGTTCTTGTTAGACACCCAGCACATGCCAACTGTCTAGGTTCAAATCTCAGCTTGAGCACTTATTAGACACCTGAACTTGGCTTTCTTAACTTTCTGCCCAAGTTTTCTCATCTTTGAAATGAGAATGTTGTGAAAATTAAATGAGTTAAAAGACAGTAAAAGCAGCAGAGGTTATCTACCACCATAAAGCTTACAATGTAATTGGGGAGATTAGACTAAACTGCATTCTTTTCCAACTAAAGATACTATATGAAGCTTATTTTTGTAGTAATTCTTATTTTTAAAACAATCTTTAAAGATCTCTAATATTAAAATTGATCTCTCTTTAAATACTGTTCTTGGCAGAATCACAGCATTAAAAGTATTAAATCCATATGCTTCTTTGGTGATTCAAAATAAAACAGGAACAAGAAGCAACTGAAATGGGAGTTCATTAGGGATTCCAAAAGTTTGGGCACTGATATTTTATAATTCTGAAAACATGTTTCTCTTCTGCCAATTACTTCAAGATGCACTAAAATTTTATGGGGAAGGTTTTATCTCAATACTTCGTTCAAAAATGATAAAAGACAACAAATGCTGGAGAGGGTGTGAAGAAAAGGGAACCCTCTTGCACTGCTGGTGGGAATGTAAATTGATACAGCCACTATGGAGAACGGTACAGATGTTCCTTAAACAACTAAAAATAGAATTACCGTATGACCCAGCAATCCCACCACTGGGCATATACCCAGAGAAAACAGTAATTCAAAAAGACACATGCACCCCAATGTTCACTGCAGCACTACTTACTATTTACCCAGGTCATGGAAGCAACCTAAATACCCATCGACAGACGAATGGATAAAGAAGATGTGGGATAAAGAAGATGTGGTACATACATACAATGGAATATTAGCCGTAAAAAGGAACGAAATTGGGTCATTTGTAGAGACGTGGATGGACCTAGAGACTGCCATACAGAGTGAAGTCAGAAAGAGAAAAACAAATATCGTATATTAATGCATATATGTGGAATCTAGAAAAACGGTACAGATGAACTGGTTTGCAAGGCATAAATAGAGACACAGACGTAGCGAACAAATGTATGGATGCCAAGGGGACAAAGTGGGGGTGGGGGATGAATTGGGAGATGGGAGTGACATATATACACTAATATGTATAAAATACATAACTAATAA